CTGCCCCCCATCTCTCCACAGCCCCCAGGATGCCCCCTCCGTGCCGCGCGCCGTCCCCTCTCCGCTGCGTCCAGGCCCTCAGTGCCCTCCTGGCCCTGGCACTGGCAGCGGCCCCTGGCTACTGGAACCCGGGCGAGGGCGACGGCTGCTTGTCCGCCTGGGCCCTGTCCTTCGTCTTCACCCTCCTCCTCCTCCTCAACGACGCCTTCCGCCGCCCACCGCCCCGCCGCGACCTCCCGCTGGCCCTGGCCACCGCCGCCGCCATGGCTTGTGCCACCGCCACCGTGCTGTGGCCGCTGGGTCACCTGCGAGGACACGAGGGTGGCCAGGGCCGCCCCCGCGCCCTCCGCGCCGCCGCCACGGCCGCCTCGGCCATCGCCACGCTGGCCTACGCCGCCGAGGTGACCCGCGACAGGGCCAGGCCCGGAGAGGCCGCCCCGTACCTGGCCACCCCCTCGGGGTTGCTCAAAGTGGCCGAAGCCTTCCTGGCCCTCCTCCTCCTCGGGCTGTCGGCCGAGCTGGGCGCGGCGTCGGGCCCCGCGGCCTTGCGCTGGTGCCTGGGCATTTTCTGCGTGTCCTTCGTGCTGGGGGTGCTGCTGGTCGGGGGGTGCCTGCTGGGCTGGGGGTGGTGCGGGTGGATGAGGGACCCCGAGGGGCTGCGCTGGGGGCTGGGGGTCTACGCTGGGCTGGGCGTGGTGGCCTACGGGGCGGCCACGGTGCTGTGGGCGCTGTACAGCTTCTCGGACGACATGGGGGGCCAGTCACGGAGACCCTACGGTTGCTCCGCCACGTGCCCCTGGGACAGGAAGGTGCTGGTGGCCGTGCTCAGCGGCCTCAATTTGGTGGCGTTCGGGGTGGATTTGGGGCAGACCGGGAGGTTGGTGCTGTTGAGGGCGTGAGGGGGCACTTGAGGGCGAGCGGGGGGGATCATGGGGGGAGTCAGAACCTTAACGGGGGTCTGGGGTCTCCCACAGGTTGGGATCAGGGCCTTTATGGGGGTCTGGGTTGCTTCCTGGGGTGGGATCAGGCTCCCAAAAGGGTCCTGGATGCTCTATGGGGCAGAATTGGGATCCTAAGAGGGGTCTGGGGTCCTGTCCTGGCAGGTGTTTGGATCCTAATGGGGGTCTGGGTTGCTTCCTGGGATGGGATCAAGCTCCCCAAAGGGTCCTGGATGCTCTATGGGGCAAGATTGGGATCCTAAAAGGGACCTGGAGGGGTATTGGGATCCTGATAGGGGTCTGGGGTCACCCCAGGGTGGGATTCTGCCTCTCTGGGGGTCTGGGGTCTTCTCCTGGGTTGGGATCAGGCTCCTGATGGAATTCCTGGATCCTCTGTAGGGCAGGATTGAGCCCCTAATGGGAGCCTGGGGATCACCCCACGGCGGGATTTGGATGCTAATGGAGGTCTGGGGTCCACCCTTAGGGCGGGATCAAGCCTCTAATGCGAGTCTTGGGTCGTCTGTGGGGCAGAATCTGGCTCTTATCAGGGTCAGAGTCCACCCAGGAGGGATACTGGGATCCTAGTGGGGGTCTGGGGCTTCCTCTGGGGTGGGCTCAGGACCCCAGATCAGGGCCCTTACGGGGTCTGGACTCACCCAGCGAAGGATTTGGACACCAGTAGTGGTCACACCCAGGATGGGTTCAGGTGCCTAAATGTCTCCTGGATCCTCTATGAGGCAGGATCTGGCACCTTGGAATGGGATCAAGTGCCTGAA